ATTGACTTGCTTTGGGGAAAAAACAAACGTATGTTGATTTTAGGCAGTACAGTTGAGCATTTTAAAGGCTCTGATGCATAGGTTATTTCAGACAATTCTGCGTAAAGTAGGTAGTATCATTCCTGTGTTTCACAAGTTTTGAAGACAGACTTTACATAGGAATTATATCAAGGTTTATTTAGTTAAGTAGATGACAGCCACAATTTTCAGATATAACTGGTGATTTTGGGTACTAAACTTGAGATCCCAGTCAGAGGTCTACATGTGAATTTTGTGTCATACATAGACAAACAATTCTGATTCTAAGTAATAGAGAGCAATAATACACATTCATACCAGCAAATTAGTTACAATAACTTACCAGCAGTGTTTCCTACAGATCACATTCAAGTGTTAGAAAACTATACATTCAAACAAATAGTGCTTGCTATTTTATTGAAAAGTTGTTGATATTGAGCCAAAAAAAACAATTAAAGTTTACATACATATGTTACATACCTGTATAAAAGTTATATGTATAGTTAGAATATATGTATATAATGCATTGCTTGTTATATAATCCATATTGTAAGTTTGGGAACATCATTGGTTTTTGGCAATCACTTTCATTTCTAGTGCATTACAGCTATTACTAGTGTTTTACACAATGCTGCTGCACCAGGGAGATTGTAACCCAATTCAGATCTATACAATCCAAAGGTGATCATTTACATGCATATGACATCCAAAAACATGTGTCAGATTAGCAGTGTGAAGTCAGCACTGAAAAACTTCGGAAATAAATGTAAGGGTAGCCAGCGGATGGTGCAATGAAACCCTGATAGATTTGTTATCATGCTTGTGTCCTCATTTTCAACATTTTCAGCATGTCAGAATTCCTGCTTTTGCTGGGATGGGTATTTACTGGGCCAGATCCAGGAGAGGTGCAGTGAGACAGTCACCCCCTGCCCTCCCTTTGATTCCTGCTCCACTCAAAATTTAAAGCAAACTGCCTCACAGTGGCAGCAGCATTTCTCTTTAGGCAGCAGTGAAGAAGTTACGGGACTTCATGGCTCATTATCTACCTGATTCCTTCTAAACTAACCTCTTCTTTCCACAGGTGTTAGCACAGACTGTTTCTCCTTTTTTAATGGACTTAATATTCTGCTAATCCAGCTATTCTTCCTTCTGACATTTGGCTGTTTCTTAACTGTCCATGGTAATGTAGCTCCCTACTTCAAAGACCTTCAGATTTCTTTATAACCCTATCTAAAAACATTAACTCAGGTAATGTGGAAACATTAACTCAGGAGAATTTTAACTCAGATGTGCAAATAACTTTCAATGAAGCATTGGATGCACTGTCAAGATGATCAAGAAGGCTTGATTTTGTTTTAGCGGTGTAGACTTGATTTTGTTTTAGCAGCGTAGCCATGTTGGTCTAAGACATAGGCAGACAAGGTTCTTTGGGTAAATCTGGTATCTTTTATTAGACCAATTCAAATAGCTGGAAAAATTCTTAGCAGGCTTTTGGGCACAAACACCCTTAGTCAGGCTGAGGAAGCTTCTGCAGACAGTCTGTGCTTTTTTGTTTTATGATTCTAAAGAGATGAACATTTAATTCTAGTGACTACAGGACTAAAAAACACAATGTGTTTTGATTATCTTTGGTTTATTTGTTGTGTTCCAATAAAGTAATTTTTGTTTTTACCTCACTCTTAAACTAAATAATATCGCCCTAAGCCCCTAGCAAATCGTTTAGTTTATTTTTATCTGGAGAAAAATATATTGCATTATATGTGATGAAGCACCACACCATCTGTACCCTCCCCTTTCAGATTCCTAGATCTGCTCATTGGCATTTATGAGTACACATACATTTATGAACTTTTGCACCCTAATTTAAATTTGTTGGATGATGGAGTCTTTAACAAAGATAAACATTCTTGAAAGTGTTTGTTAATTATTAGCAAACAGCCTAACTAAATACCCGCTTGTCTTCTTTATTCTTTGATCCTTGTGATGTCATAAATTATACAGGGTTTTGCAAAAATCATAGACTCTTTTTGGATATTCATGGCCCTCATTTCTTAAACAGTTAAGAATAGAAAAACAGTTTTGGAGGTAAAATCTTTCAAGTATGTTTCATACCTCATAAAAAAGCAAAAAATGCACAAGACTTTTTTCTTTATCTCTTTTAGTTGTTTTGTGAGGAAGTATTTCAGGATTGGTTTAAGGGTAAATGGTTGGAAATTGTGACAAGTTTAAACAGCGTGGTTATTGTCTTCTGCAAGTAAAAGAGGAAGGGTTTTGTCACTGAAGTAGTCACACCTACATTTGACTATTCACTTGAGTACAAAGGGCTCCAATCCTGTGTCCCTTGCTCATGTGATCAGCCTTACTGACAGCACCGGATTGCCAAAGGTCGCTACTTGTGTCAGAAAGAGATAAAGGAAGGATAGCAAGTGTGCCAAAAGCCACATTATAAATGGCACCAAGGTACCTTCAACAGGAAGCAGACATCCAAATACTTGAGTACCTGAACCAAATTTCCTTGAAATAACTACCTAAGGATGCTGCTTCTGATCAACTCTACTTCCTTTAAGAACCTGCCCCCAACTAAACTCTAGCATGGGCAAACCTCTGCAGAGAGTTACCTTAACTCCAGCAGGACTCTTGGTGAGAGCAAGGATCTGCCCTAGGACCAGGTCCCGAGTTAGTAAGGACCTCTTGGGAAGAATCAAGCAGGTTTTTTTCTCCTCTCTTTATTGCTGAAGAGGTGGTGGGAGAAGGAAGACCACATTCAGTGTTGGTCTAACTCTGCTCTTACTGAAGCCAATGGGAGTTTTACTTTAGCATCAGGCCAATGCTGAGCACTTCTGGAAATCCACCCCCTAATACAGAGCTGCCCGTAATAGAGTATGTTTTAAAATGAATGATAAGAAAGTCTGTGCATTTGTGCGGAGAGTGACAGGATGTTGGTATTCAGGTGCCAGAGAGGGGCATGGGGAATTATAGCATTCAAAATTGTTATTGCATCCAGCAACAACCTGGTCTGTGGTGGGGGAATGACTATTTCATTAAAAAATAATGTCCAGTTAATATATATTAAGCAATGCAAGAAGCAAGGATTTCTTATGGTGATAAATTTTGTTGGCCTAACTATGTAGTTGGGATAGCCAAGCTTTTGAATGCAAGACATTCTTCCTCAGGTGTGACAATCCAATAAAAACTATCACCTTAAGAAATCCTTGCCTCTTCGCATCATTTTGGGAACATCTTGGCTACATCACTCCTACACAACCATATTCAACAATGGCTCTGTGCTTGCTGCGGTATGCAGTCAATCCTAGTTTGAAAGCTTTGAGAAGATCAGGGAAATTAGAGAGAGAGTTTATTCCTATTTTTCCATGCTCGAGTTGCCTGATCAGTTGTACTGGGAAGAATTTCTAGATGGTACGAACAAGGTTAGGACTTGTTCAGCAAAGCCTGTATTCCCACTGCTGGCTGAGGGGTCCTAATCCCCAAGGCATTTACATTTTTAAGGGTGAATAGAAAGGTCCCCTGATCCCTGGGAGCGGGACGGGCCTATCTGGTACACAGAAAGATCATGGGCATGTGTCCACACAGGTACAGTTACCCTCCCCCGTGGTTAGAGGGGGCTATCAGGTTTTCACCAACTGATTCCTTGGGATAACTTAAAACACTAATAGGGTCAGGTGTGAGGGCCAGAAGTTCATAATGATTGCTCCAAGGGGGGAGCACACTGGCCAGTGCTTGCTGACCCTTGAATGCATCCGAGGAGAGGTGGACACTGCCCAGCGAAACCTTGCCTGGAAACATGATGAGGGACAGGAAAATGGCCCCGCAGTCCCTGGGGGTCCCCCTGTCCAGCCTCCTTCCTCATTAGATAGATGGCTAGCTTAGCTAGGGCTGGGAGGAAGTTGACCAGGAGGTTCAGAAAAAGCATTATCATGCCCCTTTATAAATCTATGGTGTGTCCACACCTTCAACACTGTGCCCAGCTCTTGTCTTCACACCTCAAAAAGAACATAGAGGAACTAGAGGAAGCCCAGAGAAGGGCAACATGGATGATTAGTGTAGAGGGGCTTCCAGATGAGGAGCAACTAAAGAGCCTAGGGCCATTCCATTTAGAAAGAGACGCTTGAGGTGGGGGGATGTGAGAAGGGTTTACAAAACAGTAAATGGTGAAGAGAAAGATTCATTGAAGCTTAGGGCTGGAAGGGACCTTGTGAGATCGACGGATCCAACCCCCACTCTGGGCAGGAAAGACAACTGGGGTCACATAACCCCAGCAAGGTGTGCATCCAGTCTCCTTTTGAAGATCTTGAGGATAGGTACCACCTGTGCTTGGGAGCCTATTCCAGACAGTGCCGGATTTAGGCACAAGCTAAGTAAGCTACAGCTTACAGCCTCACATTATGAGGGGCCTCTAAATATGAAAAAAAATACAGTAAAACCTCACAAATCCATCAGTGTGCTCAGGACTGAGCACGTGCTGGAAGTATGAAAATGCCATTTTTTATAAACCAGCACTGCAGCCAGTTGCGGAGCTGGGGAGGGGTGTAGGGGTAGTGGTGGCCAGTCCTGGAGCAGCAGTCGCATGCAGAGCAGCAGTGCAGGGTGCTTTATGGAGATGGCAACAGCCGTGTGCAAGCTTCCCCTGCCACTTCCGGGGCAGCATGGGGGAGCGGTGGCCAGTCCCGAAGCAGTGGGAGAAGTGCTGGATTTTTGAGAATGCCGGATTTTTGATATCTGGATTTTTTTTTGGTAATGGTATGGGGCCTCTTAAGCTTGACACAGTTTAGGGCCCCAGCATATCGTAATCTGGCCCCGATTCCAGAGCCTGGTCACCATGAACGCCACGTGCCCCCGGAGGCTGGGGGGGCATGGTGACTGCCCGCAGACAGCGGCAACAAGTGGAGAGCTCCTGCAGGCGGCCACTGTGGTGTTGGTTGTGGGGTGGTGAGCATTGACCGGCGGTTGATGACCACCCAGAGATGCCGCTGGCAGCGGCCAACATTGATGGGCAACTGCCCGCAGATGGGCAAGGTGGGGTGTGGGCGGTGAGCAGCAACCACCTGCAGGCGCCACTGGCAACGACGGCAGTGCTTGTCTTGGGGTGCACTGCCAATCTCAGGGGGTGCACGTGTACCCACAGGCACCCCCTACGTGTCACCGATACTGGTCACTCCAACCGTCGTTGTCGACACATAGGGGGTGTGTGCGGGTGCACATGCACCCCGAGTGTGGCTGCGCACCCCCTGCAAAAAGGCCGGGGGCCGGTCAGTGCTCACCGCCCTTCCCCCCCCGCTGCTGACAGTGCCGTGGCCGCCTGTGGGAGCTCCTTGC